AGATTGTGTAATTCAAATAATCCCAACACCAAACTGAAAGCAGACATAAGGGCTGACACTATGCCTGTGACTGAAATAATAAATTCTAATCCGAATACTGAGCTGAAAGCAGACATAAGTTCTAGTATGCCAGTGACGAAAATAAAAAATACTGAGCTGAAAGCAGACATAAGTTCTAGTATGCCAGTGACGAAAATAAAAAATACATCGCCAAAACAAAATTTCGGTAGAATATATGGCACTAAAACAGCGAATACTAACTTTAAAGGAGTACCAAGAAAGATAAGTTATTACATAGGACAGGTAGCTTTAACCACTACTGAACAAAATATAATAGATGATTTGACGAAAACAATACCGGATGGAGAATTTAAATGCATAAAACTTAAAACTGATCGCAAGGTGCAAAGTTTCAAGTTAACTGCAAATTTTTCATCGAAACAAGCATTGGAAAACTCTAAGAATTGGCCTGAGGGTGTCATTGTTCGACCATGGGTCAGCAAAAATAAAATGCCCACAAATACCATGCAGAATAACATGGCTGGTAGAAATGGTATTGAAGTTGCTTCGTTTAGTTAAACGTACTTTTCTGATAATCCTTTTGAAAAAATACTAATTATATATATTTATAACTACTGTTTCTAGAACATCAGTTGTGCTAGGCTATTTAGCCAAAATCACACACTATATATATATATATATATATATATATATATATATATATATATATATATTTATATGTTTTTAGTGCTAAAGGTTCTTTAAAATTTTATTATCTATTTTATCATATAGTAAGTGTCATATATCTTTATTATTATCTTAACTCTATTTTCTAAATCCAATAGGAGTAATTGATGGTTTTATAAATATGAGAGGAAAGAGATGGTCCGGGATGACGGTCATAAAAAGACTGAAATAGTGGAAAAACTATTTTATTTAAACCCAATGTCCAGTTTATAACTATCGTTTTAGAGGTGTTGGTTTCTTATAAGCTTTTTACTTTTTCATATAACTTCCTAGCTTACTTATTACTTATTATGATTAATATCCTTAGTTGATATAATTTACATTACAAAAACAAAACACATTTTTACTTTTGAAATTTATATGGTATGGGTTGGTTTTTAAACGAAGGGATGATATATAATTTTTAAAAATTACCAAATTATAAAGAATGGATTGTGTGGCCATATGATATGATAATTTATTAATATTAATCCTTGAGTTTGTAATTTTACTGTTTATATGGTAACATTATATGTATTTAATTGTTTTTCTATAAATATATGCAATATGTACCTATAGCATTCTTTCTTTCCTTGTTATAAAAGATACATTTTAATTATTTAATCAAATCCTTTAATTTCTTTGGTCAATGATATTCCTGTATAATAGATCTTAATCTCAAAATTGTTCGTTAATATCACCACATCTTATAATGGTCTTTTTGAAAATATAATAGTTTATGATTTTTATTAACCATTATACTGAAAATTATCAAAATAATCACTGTTTTAGTATTTGAGGAAATCCTTACCTACGTTTGGGTCATCATGCTAAAGTAATCATAAATTGATTTTTCAAGTGTTTAGTCAGAAGAAGTTATATAGTTATAGATATATTTAATGAAAATTATTTTCACTTTCATAATAATCCTATTTATTTATATTTGTCCGACGTTTTGGGTTATTCACCCATAAGAGTGAAATGTGACGATGAAAAAATCATTTACCTTAGAGAGAAAAAATTCATTTTATTTAAACTTAAATAATATAATAAGAATTAATGTTTTTAACATGCATATATAACAATAAGATGGATGGAATATCTACTAAAAGTTTTTAAAATGTCGATGACGGGTGAGTAACCCAAAAGACCTGACAAAAATAAATAAATAAGATTATTATGGAAGATAAAACCATTTTCATTAAATATACCTATAATTATAAAATGACTTATTTATTTTATTTATAAAAGAGTTTCCAACAATGTCCTTAGTAATGTTATTTAGTCAATTTTGGGCAACAGGCTCATTTATATGGAATAACTTCCTTTTTGATAAAGTGCAAGCCAGAATCTATGTTATAAGTCTGTTAAAAATATACCACAAAAAATTCTGTTTGTTTTTTAAACAGATAAATAGAAAAACAACTTATGAAAATACTGCTTGTTGGTAGTATTGCAATTTTACAGTAGTTGCTCTACAAACATAGGCATAGTACGTGGCCGTCCTAAATTGATAAAGTTAAAAATAAAATAGTGGAAATATTGTTGATCATAATATTCACTGTAAGGAAACTAGATTCAGAGAGGATAAGGATGATGTATTCTTTAAAAAAATAACAGAAATCAGAAGCCTTATTTTATTGTGTGCCAACATTTTGACCAGTTTAAGTAAAAATAACTGAAGAATACCTCATTCTGCCGTAAATACTGTTACAAAAGTTGAACTTAGTTTAGATCCTTGGGTATTATTTCGATAATCCTTACCTCTTATCAGGTTATTTTCTTTACATGTCAGGATAATAATCGCAATTAGTTTGTATTTTTCTTTCTCTCAGCTAACATGGAGTGGGTGATAAAGAAAACCGAATATCTGTGATCGCCTTACACAAAGTTTTATCAGCCGTATGCTTGTGTGCTGCACTATAAATAAATATAATGAGATTCTATCTGTATGTGACAGACCTCGACTGGACCGCATCCGCACTGTGAGAACACCAAATGCAATGAGAGCAATGTCTGCTCAAATCAGAAGGGTACATTTCGAAGAATGACAGGACAAAGGCTAACCACTTCCCTAATAAAAATTAGAGTGGATAGATGCAAAGTGATCTTTGGCCATTATTCCAATGGTTTTCATCGAAAGATTTTGTTTAGCGATGAGAAAATTTTTACAATTGAAGACAAATTTAATAGCCAAAATGATCATGTGTACACTCACAGCTCTAAAGAAGCTGTCCAGGAAGTCATTGGAAGAGTGGAATGAGGTCATCGCCATTCCTCATGGTTTGGTGTGGAGTTTGGTTTGATGGCACCACAAAGCTCCATTTTTGGGAAAAAAGACGTTAAAACCTATCAGAATGATATTTTTTAACCTGTTGTCAAGCCTCTAAATAATACTGTTTGCTGAAAGTCATTGGGTTTTTTCAGCAGGATTCCGCTCCAACTCACAAGGCCAGTTCAACTCAGGAGTGGCTGCAAAAGAACATTCCTGAGTTTATCTCTGCCTCACATTGGCCCTCTGGTTCGAACTGTGCTCAACCAAGTGATGTTCGCTTGTGGTTAGCCCCGATAGCTGGTTAGTGGTGGGCTATGGCCTTCAGGAGCTATCTCAGGTTATGGGGTGTGAATCTATCTTTCTCTGGGCCCATGATGTGGTGGCGCGGGCAGTCTGTTGGGAGGCAGGGGGAGGAGTGCGGTGGTACGGCATAATCGGGGTTGGTTGGTCGGGATATTGGCAATTGTCTGGGGGGATGCGGGGTGGTGTGGCACGGGGGGGGCGGTTTGGAAGAGTGTTGTGTCTGGGGTGGGAGGCTTGTTTAGGGGGGAGTTTTCTTTGGGTTGGGGAGGGGTTGGAGGTCTTGCAGGGTAGGTGTGAAGGGATTATTGTGTGGGGTGGTAATGGTCAGTGGGTGTGGGGACTGAATTAGGGGGGGGGGGGGAGCCGGTTGTGGGGGATTGGAGCTGGGAAGCTCGGGGTATTACTTTGGGGGTGGGGGTGGTGAACGGTTACTGGGAGTGTTGATGGAGTGGGTGGTTTTATAGGATTTGAGTGGCGGAGGGGGCCGTAAGTTGGAGGAATAGGGGGATGGGTCGGGGGGGGTTTGTTTTTTGGAAATTTCATCAACTTTAAAATGATCACATACAAAAATAACAAAAAAAATTGTATACTTTTTTGAAAATCTAATTTTACCATCCCTTTTTTTTCAGCTTCTTTTCAGTGAAGGAGGAGACTTTATCTAAGTTTCATTGAAATCTGTAGATTCGCTTAGTCGCTACAGACTGCGGTATAGGTTTTTCCGTCACAATCTTGATAGAAAAGTAGTTTTTGGTGAAGTATATTATACACGTAAATTGAAAAAACTTCGAGGAGAAAACTCTGACTTAAGTTTCATTAAAATTGGTATATTAGTTAAGCCACTACATTCAATAACAACACAGCTTTTCAGCCACCATCTTGAAAGGAAAGGTGAATGGTAATGCAGAGTTCTGTGGATCATCCTCGGGTGCCCTTTGACATTGATACCAAATTTCAAAACAAATCAGTCCAGTAGTCTCAGAGAAAAGCTGCAGATAGACATATTTTTCGGATTCTAAGTATCTTGAAACATAAAACCTCATATTTTGAGGGGGAGTTAACTTTTCTTTATCAATTCTCATTTCATAAAGTAATTCCATAATCAATGAGAAGACTTTTAAAGTACCGATTGATATTAATATGAATTATTTTAGTTACTTTTATTAAATAAAAAACAAAAATTTAGTATTTTGTATAGGACATCTTACAAGGGTCTGGCTGAAAAATTACTGGTTAAATATCAAAATTACACCACTAATAAATGTATTATACGTCAAAGTAGTAAATAAACAATAAAAAATAGAGCATAGAGAATATTTACAGTATTAGTATTTGTATAAAACATTAAATATTCATGTATTAATATTAAAATATTTGCAATATAAAGCATTAAACATTTTTTTTTAAATGTATTTTAAAGGCGTCAACCACCTGGGTCATTGTCGTAAAGTATTAAACATTAAAATATGTACAATATAAAATAGGAAATATTTAAAGGAGATTACAAGATGGAATCCTATTATAGAAGCCTATGAGAACTTCTCTATAATAACCAAATCCAACAAAGTTAGCAATGATTAAAGTTTCTCAATTCATACATTATTTTGAGCACCTCACAAATAATTATTTTAGTAACTTGAGTTGAGTAGTGAACTGACTGATTTTTTTAACATGTTGAAAGTATTTACAATATAACGGCTTACTTTCCTAGAAGACCTATGGGACATCCTACAGTGGTTACCCATTTCATAATATCCATGCCGATGCTTGTCATAGTATGCTGAATTGGTGCAGTGGTATCCTAAGATTAAAATGGAAGCTAAAATTATACCTATAAAGGTACTTATAATAATCATATTTTATATTACTACTTTTTTTATTAGCATTACCTGATCGCAATATGGCCATACTAGTGTATATGTAAAACTTTGAAACAAGTACAGGACAGTAGCGATTATTACTGATAAAAGCAATGAAATAGGAATTGTTCGTTCTGGTTCTGTAACTTCTGAACCTATAGCAAATTTTAATTTGAAGTAAAAAGAAAAAAAAATTATGAAATAATCCAAATCAAGTTACGAGGTTATATAATTTTACAATGTTTTTCAAGCATATTAAATTTAAAAAATTAATGCTAAGGAAGGAAGTATGGTCATTTTTCATCTATACACAGAAACTTGACATAGTTTTAGATTAACATGGGTTATAGAAAAAAATTAGTGAGCTTTAAATCATTGACTTAAAATAACTTAATTTCTAATATTTATTGTTTTTGATAATTTTATAGTTTTGGAGAATAGCAGTGGTTTATTATATAAATTTATTTTATGAATTTAACAGTAAGTTTGAAATAATAATAATCAAATTTCAACTTAAACTATTACATGCATTTACAAAAAATTTTATGTTTTTGAAGTGAAAACTTCTTTAGGCGAGCTTAGCACTTCATTTCGTGGATAAGCCGCCATGCTCGAGCCAACTAATTTTTCTCATTTGAATTAAAATATCGCAGAAACTAATATTCGGACCTGCGGACTTTTTTGTTTTTAATTATCCGTAAAAATAAGAAATTAATTATTGCATTAATCATTGCACATTTAGTCATCATAAAACTATTTTTTCATTTTTATAGAGTATGATAAAAATGTTGATCTGTCAAAGTTTCCCTGAGTAATTTATACACAACCATAATTGAGTATAATGTAAATGTTATTACCAAGGCCCAGATTTTTATGCAATTGCATTTTTTTTTTAAACTGCCGATCAAATATCTATACGAATTAGTACACTGTAATGCAATTAGTCAAATTTTATTTTGTATATTTCAGGATAAATGCATATTTTGATCAATTTAATGAAATAAACAAAATATATATGTAAATGCAATTCAAGATTACAATCGTAGGTTTATTTTCAATGAACAAAATCTACCACATTTGTCGACTGTATACCTACCTTCCACCATATCCTTTAATAATTAATTAATGGTTTAATAATGTAATTAATTAATTAATGTACATATAACCTTATTAGCCATATATGTTTAGTTATTTTCATTCTTTAGTTTAGATATTAAAAAAAAAAAAAAAAGAAGAAGATATAATTGTAATTTCCAACCCCTCCATAATTTCTCTTCGTTTCAAAACCTTTTGTAGGTACGTCATTATATTTAAATACGTTATGGATTTATTAGTAATCAAGTAATTAATAAGTTTAGTGAATTTAGAGACCAGTTACTGCATATTCTGTGGGTTTTTGCTGCATAAAAATCTGGACCTTTGTTATTACTTTGTGAATATAGAACAAAAAATTGTATATTTCAAATTATTAATCCTGCCTTGTTGATGTTTTTACTTATATCATGTAATCTTTACCATATGCCGTAGTTTTTCATTTATTTTTATATAGTTTCAAATGATTTAATATAATTTAGTATATTACCTGCGTGGCCTGCTGCATCAAATCCAATATAACCATAGAAAACTTTACTAATTCCAGTCCAAACACTGCCCAAACCATATGGCATAAAACCGCCTTTTCCGCAGCCCTCAGATGGAGGTAGAGTCCAGTTGGAGAACTCTATATTTGATCCTGCTACGAGTACTATCATCGCTAAAACTGATACATTTATCCCCACTATGAAATTATTAAGAAATGTCACTTCTTTCAATCCAAAGGAGACAATTGCTGGAAAGTTTCAATTTTGTTCAAAATGGATTAAGGTGTTTTTAGTAAGTATTAATGTCTAATGATTCTATGTTAGCCTTTTATATTTTATTTATTTTCTGGCAGAATCATATGACTTTCTTAAAGATAAAGAAGTGTTTCTTCATTAGTTATCAAACATCAATATATATAAAAATAAATATAAGCACTGATTGGCTGGGAAAGGACATGAACAGGAAGGAAATGCAATGGGTGTGGTTAATAATCATCTAGTACCATTCCAAGGGATGTTATATGAAACAGAATTTGATTTAAATAAAACAATTTTTTTTATCGAGAAATCAAAGATTAGATTTGTGTTTTAACCTTTTAGTTGCAAAGAGCCTTAATCAAGTTCAGGTACTGTGAGCATGGGATTCTCAGTGTTTAGCCAGCCCTGTGTGTGTGTGGTTTATTTACTGAATTGCTCCCATCACTTTTCAACATTAAAATATGTTATTGTTTAGTATAACTGACTTATACATTTTTCTTAAATATAAGGTTATTTATATGATATTTACAAGTGTATAAAAAAATACATCTAGTAAATTCGCACCTTCAAGGATAGGACCTAGGATACTACCTTGAGGAACACCTGCAGACTGGGAAAAGCGGGATGTATAGACATTGTTGTGATTTACTTTAAAGTATCTATCAGTAAGGTAGGAACGGATAATGAGGAAGTATGTAGATGGTATTAATTTCCGGAGTTTGTTCCTAGATGACGTCTTCTTGTGTTGGTGTCCAGGCCTCAAGTCCGTCTTCCTCCTCTCTTATGACAACCTCCTTTCGGTATCTCCCACCTTCTTCCTTCTTTATCGATATGAGACTTTTCAAAGAACAATTTGTCCACTGCACAATTGAGTACAATTCACAGTGCAACCTCACATTCCTATATATTATATATTCCTTCTCATTCCCTAACCCAATGTCAACTAAAGGAGTAAATACAGGGGGATGTCTACTACAATATGAAAGTTAGGAATAGGATGGCTTTTCGAGGAAGAAGTTTCAAGATCTGGGTTGTTAAAAAAAATTTTAAAACTCATTTTCAACTTTCGCACTTCAAAATATTAGCAACTGCTGTTAGTTTTAGAAATGAATTATATTCAAAAGACTATAGAAGATGAAATAGGGGTGGAAGCAGGCTGTGGTCAGAGCCCTCGCCCTAAAGGGTACCTGCGACTAAAAGATGCATCTCATGCTATCTAGTGGTTCCAGCAACAACCCAAGACTCATGGGATTCTCATTAGAGAGCTCTGTAACGAACCAGAATATTGGTTTTGCGCAACTGAAGGATAAAGAACTGAAGCCAATAAGGGGGTGAATATTGGCTGACCAGAATATATTTACGTTAGAGAGATTTGGAAGTTATGTTTTCACAGGGCACTTGCTACTGATGAATTTTCCGCTGTTTTCATCTTCTTTATTATTAGAGATGAAAAAAAAAGCCTGTTCTAATATCAATAAACAAGGAGGTTTAATGTTTATTTATTTTTTTAATCATCAATTCAAATCTTTGTTGTCTGATGCATATTTATTTAACGCAACATGATGACTCCAGTAACCTCAAAATTGTAATATGTGAGCCATTCACTTTTCAATTGGCTTTATTTGTATGTTGTTGTTTTTTCTTATGCCTCTTGTTTTTAGCCATTTAATTCACAATTGGCTCCTCTTTTTTTATAATATTTTTTTATTTGTAGGTTGTTGTTTTTTTTTCATGCCTCTTGACGTTTTAGACTTCTGCTATGAATCTTTACCCAGATTTTTGGAGCTGTTATAGGTGACAGCAGTGATCATTTGGTTCTCTTCTTTAATATATCTAGGAAGCACATGGTTTACTAACCAGTCGCGATCACAAATCACTCCCTCTTCATCAGGCACTTTCTTGAAGGATGGTTGGCAATCTTTTGCAGCGATCGTCACCCAGTTTTTTATGGGGTAGGAGATTATCAGCCCTATACCGAATCCTCAACCTGGAGGACCAGGAGCTACAGTGTAAGACATAGGGGTTGCTCATCTCCCCGTGAATCTCTGGATGGGGATGTTACTGTCTCCATGCGGGAATCGAACCCACCCCATATTGGTCAAAGCAATCGAGGACGTGCACTTATTAATTATTTTTATTGTTTATCTTTTTTTTTTCTTGTTATTTAATCCCGTGAATATTATTTCAACAGGTCATAAAGTTTTTGCTGGCACCTTAACTTGCTCGACCACCGCAGTCCCTTATTTGAATGTCAAAGCTCCTAACCGAATACTAAATTTTTATGTTTATTATGAATTTATCTAGTATGAAGGATTAACAACAATTAATCATATAATTATTACATTAAACAATTTATTTCTGAAACCAAGCTAATCGACTGTATGCATAATTCATACAATGATGCATTTCTTTTAGAGATGTATTCATTTTTAATATTTTCATGGTACCAAGAAAAAAACTGTAGTTTATTTTTATCACCTTTTGTCTTTTAGTTTTTATGAATTTTACTATTGATGAGAACATCTAAGAATCATTCAATGCCATGAAACTTTTATCTTTCCTTTATTTTAGGAGTAACCACCATGTGGATAGGGAGACTGGGAAAGTCTATTGTCAAAAATGCAAAGAGAGAGAGAGTTGTAATATAATATCGTTGAAATCAATGTTATTTCTATCCACTTTTTAATTCATTCCTTTTCATATTTGCTTAGACCTTGATAAATGATAAGGATATATATATATATATTTCTAATATATTTAGAAGGGTTTGATGGGAGCACCCTGGTCAAATTTCCCTCGCAACCTACAACCCATGGGACAGCCCTGATTCCTTATCTCTCTTATTTTTTATGGTGGACCCTTTCATTTATATTAAACTTAATTACTAAAATGGTGTACTAGTTAAATATATCTTTTAAAATAGTCACTTAAAATGGTGAGCTCAATCAAAACTGCTGCAACATCTGGATAGTCGGCTAAAATAGGAGTTTTAAATGTCATATAGCTTTTCAAATAACCACTTATTCGGTTGCCAGCACACTTGTCTATTACTTCACTTAGACCACGAGCTGATAGTGCTGATCCTGAAAATCAAAAAATATGTATTGGTTTGTCGGACTTGATCCACAAAGGTCTCGAGGTTCTATGGGGATCATATTTACATTTAAATGTTAAGTCATTTATTTAGGATTAATAAACATACCTACAATATTTTCTGCAGCAAGCAACCACCCAATGATTGCCGCAAGGAATTCACCCAACAAGTAATAAGCTTGACTATAGGCACCTCCGCTTCCAGGTTCACGTGAAACGAATTCAGCATAACATAGGGCTGAGAAATGATCAAATAATATTTAATCATGTTGATGTGAATTTTTCAGAACCGTTATAACTAACAAAAGTCATACCATTCATAAAAGATATTGATGCAGCGAGAAAGTGTGATATAATCATAGCTGGTCCGATTTCTTGAGCATAAAATCCAATGAATATATATGATCCCATCCCGATTGTTGTACCAAGCCCGAGCATAGTTACATCAAACATGTCTAATATTTTGGATAACTTTGAGTATTCATGAGTTGTTGTTTTTGTGCGAAAAATTGCCCTTAGCAATTCTCTAAAGAAAGTTTTACATGGCTAAAAAAATATATATAATTAACATGATACAAATTACGATTATAAGCCAGTAATATTTAAAAATATTTTGTTTTTTTCATGGTATAACAAAGAACAAATCATTATAAAAGAAATTATATCAGATCTAAGTGAAAGTATTGGTAAAAAAAAAAATCTGGTGTGCCCACTCACACAGCTTTCCTACCTATTTCAGAAAAGTTTGTATATCTTTATATATGTCCATCAAGGAACAAAAGAAAATTGAATTAGATTTATTTTCCTTAAATTGATCAAAGAAAAGATTTGAGTACAATTTATTTGATGAACTAAAGCAATGTAAACCAGCTTAAGGTAGATCAATGTAAACATTTCAATAACCTCTAATATTGCTGATCAAAAACTTTTTGCCATAGCCTAATTTTGTTGAACAATACTTTCTGTTAAAAGTAGAGGAAATAGTGAAGCTTGTGTAATCTGGGCAACAGATTTTCTTACTTTCACTTAATCATCTTTTTTCTCTCATACACCCCATTCTGACAATTTTACATTGGAAAATGAATAACTGTAACTTCGTTAATAGTTGTCTGAAATGAACGATTTTTATATAGTTTTGTAGGGAATTTCATTACCTTTCCCAAAAACAGGCTAACAGTGTTTTTCGGACAACTATTAACTACTATAAATTTTACCATAAAATATATACTTAGCGAGTTAGGCCCCAAAACATTTTTCTTTTCTTTATAACTTTTTTTTCCTGAATTTTCTCAAGAATTTAGTCCATGTACAAAAATTGAAAGGACAATTCTTTGAACATTACAGGAAGGTTTCATCAAAATCGTTAGAGCCGTTTTTGTGCTACGGTCTACAGAAAAACATGTTTCTCACTTATTGCGCATGGAGCACCCAATTTGTGTCTTATTAGTAGTCTTATCAAAACCCTACAAAATAATAAAAGAAGCAACAAAATCGGTTAACTAGTTACCAAGAAAATCTTGGCAGAGACAGACAGACCAATGACTAAAAATGTGTTTTTCGGTCTCGGGAGAGGGAGCTCCGAAATGTATAGGTCCGTCAGAAATCAGAAATTTGAACCGATCGCAGTACTTTCCTTACCTAGTACAGGTAGAAAAGTAAAAAAAGGTTTGCTGTACCTGAAATTCATCATGTTGGGGGTGGTTTGTCGCCTTTTATAAAGGAGAAAAATAAAATTTTCTCTAATTAAATGAGTAGTAACATAAATAAATGAGGACCCACATCCTTAAATCTAGGATAGCCCTCTTCCACATGAAATATAAAATATATTTGTGTGTGTGTATATATATATATATAAAAGAAAGTTTATTGTTACTCTTTTTCATTAATTTGAATTTCATTTGTGGAAGGTGTATGTCTGTTTGAAGTGAAAAGTCACAGATGAAAAAACAGATCTTACCCTCAAGTTTTTTAAAATTAAATATATTATATAAACTATAATTTTTGGCTTTTTTTTACCTATATTGTTTGGTTTGTGCGGATTTAACAATTTGGAAATTTCTGACACTGTAGGCCCAAAAGGGCGGAAGTGGGGAGAGGGGAGTGTAAAATATAAAAAATCATTTTTGTAGTTTCACGACTTTGCCATAAAAACAAAAAAATCTTGAATTTATTTCTACTCAAAGTAGAATTGTAAGGGAACATTATGTGATGCGCACACTGTGCCAAACATTTTTAAATATTTATATTGGCATGTTTTTCTTTAAAATATCTTAGAACAATAACAGAAACACTTTATTTTCAAAGAGGCGGCACAATATATATTATAACAAATATAATGGATGACAATAACAGCAACTATAAATGTTGCAAGATAATTCGTTCTAACATGTTATAAACGCATAATAAATTTATCAAGAAAATTTACATTTAATTTTGGATAGATTTAGTGTAATATCATTTTCATTTCAGTTTTCATAAAAATCAATTTTATTCAACATAAATATTGTGCAGGCAGTAACAAGGATAAAATATTGTGGAATATTTAAGACTTACATTACTTGACTTGATTGTCAATGACATTTTCTGATTTCAAAAATATTTAATAATGTGCACTATATTCACTGAGCTGTACTTATTTTAAAAACTAAATAAGTAAAACCAGGAAACAACTGTTAAATGTATTGTTGCTTTATCTGTTCTAATAAAGCAACAATACATTTGTTAATATAACTTTTTCAATAAACTGTGAATTGTCAAATGTAGAACATCTTTGTTAAATTGACATACATTAATAAGAATAGTTACACTTAAAGATCTCATTTTCAGGATTATGTAATTAGTGTTTATGAAATATAATGTTTATTCTACTAAATTGTAGAGCTATTGTTGATGAAAACTAGGATCGCCACTTTTAAGGACTATATTGTCAAGTACTTTCCAAATTTCACGAGGAACTCACTCATCATCCAAATCCTGTAGCACAATCCCTATCTAGCTCCAGCCATCCCTACAATCCTCCCCGGAGGTTAAAACTACAGTGGCCCTGCGACCTTTTCTAAATATATATATATATATATATATTGGAGTACTGGCAATGGCCAGATTTTCCACCAAGTCCTGAGCCTCTGTTGCTCTATCAGTCTCCAATGGCTTGCAATACCAGTGACGCGGCTGGGAGAGAAGCACTGGGATCTCCTGGTGTCCTGCCTTGGCTTCCACATTTGGGGGACAAAGCATGACTCAGAATCCTCTGGGCGAATGTAAATATTGTATATAGGTGTAAATGTGTTTTATATATTTCAATTTCATTAACTTCTCTCTATTTTCTTATTTATTTATTTTTTTACCTATGTATGTTAGTTTTCTTATTTTACTTTCCACAACTCTTTTTTCTTTTATCTCTATTTTAGTTATCATTTGTATGTATATATTGTGTGAATGTTTAATGTAGCCCTAATATTAATGCCCTCCAATGCGGCAGAATGTATTAATTTTCAAATAAAAAAATATTGTCAAATATAATACCCACTTACTAGCAGAAATAAGTATTTTGAGACAAAGGGAAAGTGCAAGTAAAAATTGATTTATATTTCATTTTGCATATTTTTATTTTTATAAGTACCCTTATATATATATATATATATATATATATATATATATATATATATATATATATATATATATATATATATATATATATATATACAAATTTTAATATTTATGTTGCTGTAATCAATATAATTAAATATTAAATAATACCAACAATAGAATTTATGAAAACCGCATATGTATACTTACATATTGTTGGAGTCCGTATTATATTAAGCTAATGTTATGTATGGAAGCATGTTCTATTCCAGGTGCATTCGTATTCCTTTGGTTCCTCAATTACTATTCTCCATTACGATTTTTTATTTCTCCTTTAGTTAATTTTCAAATTCTTTCATATTTTATATTTAACTATCTTCTATATTACAAATATGGAAATAGTGAAATGGTCAATTGTTTCAAATAAAAAAATTAAAGGTACTTTAGGGGAAGCTAAAATTGAAAATTAGCCATTTAAGCCCTGTTAGAGAACATTCATCAGAATAAAACCTAAATTTGATTTATAACTATGTAATTTTACACTGAATGAATGAATGAATTTAATCAAAATCGTTAGAGCCGTTTTTGAGAAAATTGTAAAAATGTGTTTAGTTCATGTCATAAAGTGCCACTTCTGGTTAGCCGATTTTGACGAAAAAGTTGCTGTACATCCAGTTATATACAAACCTTAATTATGCAATTTTTCTTTCGTACGTCTTTTCATTTTTGAAATAGACTGTTAACACACACACATACAGACCATTTTGCGAGACTTGGTTATTTAGGCTGAGGGCACCTCAAAACATGTATTTCTGCTGAAAACTAAGATTCAAAAATTTTTCACGATCAATATAATTAATATATATTTCATATATAGGTAAGTGAAAGTAAAAATGGCTTCAGTTTTGGTGAAATGTATCAGTGAAATTACGGAGTATTAAGAAACATGGGAAATGGAGTATTGAAATAGAAAGTGAGGAAGTAATAGAATAAGAACAGAATCAATGAATCATTAAAGAAAAACATGATTCTAGGAGTTCCAGTCAAGCCATAACCATCCTCAAATTGAGGGTATTATGTAGTAATAAGATAATGAATTGGGATGTTGTCTAAACTATTTAAAATTAAGAGCATAGGTGCTCATTGTGGTTGCTATACGACAGTATTACAAGCTTGTATATTGAACTGAGGAGATTGATCTGTGGTAGATTAACATTAAGTTGGAGGAGCATATTTAAATATACATTGGACCATCTCAAACAGCTGTTAGAAACTCTATAGTAATATATGTGCTGTGGGTGAATGATATTCGTAGTTTTCTTGAATAACACTTATCAAAACTATATTATATTAACTGATTTAATCAATATTTGATATATCATGGATTTAGTGCAAGAAGTCATTAAGTGACATTTCATAACCTTAAATCATTAAGAACTTAGTGCACTTTCAATATCAAGTTGTCAAACTACAATGGGTTTCTGTCATTACTTCCACTTATTGTGTTTTGTTTTATTGATAAATAAGGTCATAATCCATAAAAACGTTCTTCAAAGTTCAACTCCATTAAAAATGTAGTTAAGGACTTTTTGCAATAAATCAACTTAAACATAATAATGGGGTCTATTAAAACCTTCCTAGTTATTTCAAAAAATATGTTTCATATAAACAAAAAATATAAATCTGAGAGCAATGTTGGAATGAAGCTTACACAAGCAGAAACAAATTTAATGTTCAGCAATATGGGTTACTGTAAAGCTGTTTTCCTTTTTTCTATTTTAGTAGGAAAATCAAATTCATTGAATATCCAGGCTTAAAAATGTTTCAACTTGTGTTTATAAAGCCAAACATAATTCATAGAAAAAACATTGTTAGAACCTCACAAGTATATAAGGATGAAGGATATAAACAAATTTTAATAAATAGCATTTTACTTCATGAAATGTTTTATTTACATTTTAATTTTCACTTTACCATTTGTCATTGAAGACACTAAATGGTAATTTGTATTTTTTTTTCTACTACCTATGTGGTTATTTCATGCGATTTAAAATTTCAAGTTTATGGTCTAATTTTTGCAGCAAGTAATTATTAATACATTTTATTGTTTAAATATTGCGATTAAATTATATTTTTACTCAAATGTCTTATTTTTAAAAGATAATTGAACAATAAAAATATCAGAAATGAATGAGATAAACTATTATACAGTAATAATTATCACTATTCATCATTCATATTTTTAAATTTTTGTTATATATTATCATTTCAATTGATGTCAATAACATATCTATCAGCACCATGTACATATATGAGAAAAAAAGAAATTCATTAAAAAATTATAATTCTCAAATGTAATTGGTGCCTCATCCAATAGTGAGCAACATGAAATTATTCCACATCTACCAAAACCATTCAAATGGCTATTTATTATCTTCATCAAAGACATTTATTAGTTTGAGCTTAATGTTTCCTTAGTTCCTCTTATGTTAATGTAGTGTTTATTTAGGCCGTTTTTCTTGTTTTCTAGCTGCTTTCTTTTTCATTATCTGAAGTCTCTTATCAGCTGATATTATATTTATATTTGGAGTATGAGATTTACTAGAGCTGGAATGAGAACTTTTACTACTTGAAGACTTTTTACTTGACACAGAGACACCTAAAATAGAAGTAAAAAAAAAATGAAAGTAAAATAAAAAAATGTATAAGTAAATATAAATTTAATGCAAGAAGTCATTAAGTGACATTTCATAACCTTAAATCATTAAGAACATTCAATTTCAAGTTGTGCAATTGTAATGGGTTTCTGTCATTACTTCCACTTACCGTGTTTTTTTTTTGTTTTTGTTTTTATATTGATAAATAAGATCATAATCCACAAAAAATTTCTTCAAAATTCAGCTGCATTAAAAATGTACTTAAGGACTTTTTGCAATAAATCAACTTAAATATAATAATGGGGTCTATAAAACGTTCCTAGTTATTTAAAAAAATATATTGAAATAACTAGAAATGACTAAGGCCCTTATAGCAGAGTGGTTAGCGTGCTATACTAGTAAAGCAAAGATCACAGGATCGAACCCCGGCACTACTTTACCGTCGCAAGTATTTCCTGTCATCCTTCCTCTTCCAAGTCATCCAATCCCACCGTTCTTCATACATCTCCGAGCTCCTTCAATTCAAATCCTCCGTTCGTTCCCGCAATACTCGTTCCCAGTCTTCTGATTTATACATAAGGACCCACCGAACCGCTGCTTTCGACAGATCGTTCATTATCCGATCCTCATCCCTATGGAACTCCATCCTTCCACACATTCGTCAATCCAAAAACCTTCCTACCTTTATATCCCGCCTATTCGATCATTTCTTATCCATCCAGTTCCCATAAAATTGTAAATAGTTACTAATGTAAATATGTATATAAATTATTAGATCGTTCTTCATTATTTTTATTTCATGTTTATTTTCCTTCATAGTAAACCAACAACTGCCTGTCCTACAGTTTCCTTTTACAATACTCCACATATCCCTGTTGAGCAAATCCGATACTTATGACTCCACCTGGACAAGCGACTAACGACAAGAAACCGCTCGACGTTTCCGATTACTTCAGCACTTACTAGACAAACACTCTAAACTTCCCATTAATTACAAAAAAGTCCTGAGCATCTGTGGCTCTAGTGCCCTCCTTCAGCCTCCACTGGCTTTTAATACTAGTGATGCGGCTGGAAAAATGGCACTGGGATCTCTGGAGTCCTGCTTTGCTTTCCACATGTGGGGAGAAAAGCCTGGCTCGGAGATTCCTGGGCGAATGTATATAGGTATGAATGTGTTTAGAAGTTTTTATTTTATTTTGTTTATTTATTTTTTATTTTATTTATTTTTTTTATTTTTTTCTATTGATTTACATTTTTTATAAGTATTATTTATTTACTTTTTATATTTATAGTTACTTCTGTATTACTTGTATATACTGTATGAATGAGAACTTTTAGCCTTAATACTTATAGCCCTCCAACAGTGGCTGATTGTATTATTATTCAATAAAAAAAAAAAAAAAAAAAATTACAAAAGACTCATATACTTGACTATAATAAGACCTATTTGGACTTACGGAGTTGAGCTATGGGGCTCCACTAAACCATCGAATTCCTCTCGCATCCAATCCTTACAATCCAAAATCCTTCGTAAAATTCTCAATGCTCCTTACTTTGTCACTAATAAAATTATCCATAATGATCTTAATGTTACTTATGTTTCAGATCTGGCCCAATCCAGATACCTATCCTTCCATGATAAACTTCAGAATCATCCCAACCCTCTCGTTTCTAACCTTGCTTCCTCTTCAATTCCTGATAATCCTCCAAGGCGTATGTAAAGAAGATGGCCCCGTGATCTCCTAATGTAGTCATATCATTAGAGTGATACCATTGGGTAGTTACTCAGCAAGTGTATTCATGTCATTATATCTATTATGTCCAAATTTACTAAATGTATTTATGTAATACAGTTGTAAATGTCATTAAGAAATAAAAAAAAAATGTTTATTTTCAATTTTATTTTTTTATTATTAACTGATCTAAATTAGTAAGTAACTTATAATTTTTTCTATTACTTTTTTTTAATTTTTACTATTTAATTAATCTATATTTTTGTTTATGTATCTCTAAGTTCCTTAGCCCACATTATTGTCTTTCTATATTATTCTAAAGGGACTTGTCCCAGAATAAATAAAGCATTATTATTATTATTATTACTTCACACTACGGCTGGTCCCCGCGGGAAGTTGGGACCATAATACCCCCTTAATTAGGGGAAGTCTATAAGTTGTAAGACTTGTATGAACAGGCTATAAAAAAAATAAAATATAAAAAGCAGTATACTAGCATAAATTGTTTAACACAATACCTCCAAATGGTTTGCTTCCAAAAGAAGGAGATGACGTATTAGACCTCCCACTTGTTTTAGACGAGCTTTTGCTGTTTTGAGAGGATGAGCCTGCTAATGATGAAGTTTTCTGAAACAAAGTGAAGTCATAATACAATAAAGTAATTTTAATTTAGAATAAAAACAAAAACATGATCTTTGAAATGTTTAAATTTAAATTATCAAGGTTTTCATCGGTTATCCTACAGGCAGTGAGAAGGTCAATAAATTTTAATAATATAATATTTAAAAAAAAAAAAAAGCTTATGAGTTAGAATGATTTAATTTCAGGAATTATCAGTCCGATTTGAGAATTTTTTTGGGGGCATTAAATTGACTGTTTATTGAGAAACACTTTAAAAACATCTCTTTTTTTTAAATGATTCCTTTTTAAAACATCATGCTGCAGCCCAATGAACGGAGCAAAATAATCATAAAAGTCAATAAATATGAAAAACTCTAGGTCATTAACATGTTAAGCTTACTGTAGATACTGTTCGCAGTCACTATAAATAAAGCACAGGTACAAAATTGAAAGCGTATTGGAGTTGGCTTCAAAGAGAACTATTTTTCTCATGGACCACTACAGTCTTGAAGCCTTATCTAGTCCAATTTGTGAAGAAAACCAGTATATACTTATACCATAAAGAGGAAGAAATAAAAATGTATTTATGGTGAAGTACTATAAGTCTCCTTTAAAAAGTTTAACACATACAGTGTTCATCCATTTTATAAATATCACATAACTTTTTCAGATATAAATAAATTAGAAATTTCTATGAAAACCGAATGGTAGAAAATTTATGAAAAAGAAGAGAAAGGGATGTTTTATAAATTTCACTGCCCACTGCTAACAAACAAACCCTGGTTCGGTAATAGAAATGCTCCTAAAACTTGGATAAGAACTATTTGCAGATTAAGATTTAATCGTGCTATCTAAATTACTTACCTTTATATGATTAAGAAAAAAAGACAGATTATTGCCAATTATGTGAAATTAGGGACATCCCCAAAACATATATTGGTGTGATGCATTAAATACACTGCAGAGAAATATCATTTCACCCAATAAGATTAAAACTAATGAATAAGGATAATCCATCTTAAACTGATATAATAACAAACCCCAATTATGTTCTGGAAGCGTTATGTCGCTTTGTAAACTCCATAGGTATTAAATTGTAAAAAATAAAGGCTGTTAGTTAATGATCCATCCAGGTAAATAATCATTTGGAATAATTACTATTTAAAATTTTGGCTAACGGCGTGTATGAAAAAAAAAAAATTGTTCATCCAAAAATTATTTAACTGAACACCCTTTCTGTCAAGTCAGTCTTGTTTATTTTAAGCGACTAGTCCTTTTTATTTCAGATGTACTTGTTTATGAATTTTATAGTAATGAAATAGGCTAAACCAAATTTAAAGTGAGCGAAACCATGCGGCAAAGGGAATAGGATATAAAAGAAATTGTTTAGTAATCTAAAGAGACTTTAAAATTTTCTTAACTATTAATAAGGCTTAGTGCAATTAAATAAATACTTACAGGTTTACTAAGAGTTTTGGTACAGTTACGACAATACCAAACAACCCTAGGATCACTGACGTCTGAATCTGGCACAGGAGGATTATGACACTGCTGATGGTAAACTGCGTGGCATTCCGCACAATCCATAATTTGATTCCACTGTGTATAAACGCCCTCTCTAAAACATTATATAAATTTGAAACTAAGTTAAACCACTATTCTAATGGAATGTTATAATTGTCAAATTAGGGCTCCAGGCCTGGAGGCAGTGTACATTACTTTACCCACAACTAAGTAATTGATTCTTACTGATTTGTCACAAGTTATTAATTGTGATTTCTTCTATAAAAATCTGGTGCAATGTGCATATCACACAACTTTCACTTACCATCCTCTTCTTAGTAGAAGTAAATATTTTCAGACAGAGCGATGTGAAAGTAAAAATTATAGATGGTACAAAACATAATTTAAAACAATTAATTAGCCTATACTTTTCAGAGCCGTCTAATGTATTATATTTATTTTGTTTGATACTAGCCATTTCCTTTTATTGCTGTATATTTCAATTATCTATTTGATTATGATAAATAATTAAGTGTCACAAAATATTTTTAGTCCAACAAGAGAGCCATTGATAAAAAAAGGACGCTATATTTATTTATAATTCATTGTGGGTATTTTTATTTTTTTTTAAGTACTGGCTTATATAAAATTCTTTTGACAAAAAGGACCGAGTGGCCCACTTGCCACACTAATTCCCCCACCCGTACCAGTATATACAAATTTTAATGTTAATCACTGCTATTTATTAATAACAATTAAATATTAAATAATATCAACAATAGCATTTAGGAACACCGCATTTATATATATATATATATATATATATATATATATATATATATAATATTGTTGGAGTCCGTATTATATTAAGATCATGTTACGTACGGAAGCCTATTATAACCTTTCGAGCGAGCTCATATTCCTCGATTTCTTGTTATGATCTCTTATTTCTCCTTTAGTTAATTATCAAATTCTTTCCTATTTTATATTTCAATATTTTTTATATCAGAATTTAATGGTTAATTATTTAAAATAAAAAAATTAAAGGTATTTTAGAGAAAGAAATAATAAAAATTCGCCATTTAAGCCCTTTTAGTAGAGAACATCAATGAGAATAAAACCTACATTAATTAAAAACTGCTCTATTTTACACTGATATAACGAATTTAATCAAAAACATAAAAATGAGTTAAATCGATGATATAAAGTGTCACCAATTTTGAAGAAAAAGTTGCTGTAAGTTCCCAGATATATACAAACCTTAAATATGCAATTTTCCTTTCATACAACTTTTTATTTTTAGGATAGATTGTTAACACACAAACTGACCATTTTGTGGAACTTGCGATATTTAGACTCAGGGGATCACAAAACATGTATTTCTGTTGAAAACTGTGATTTGAAAATTTTCATGATCGCATACTTTCCTTTACTATATATTTCATAAATAGGTAAGTGAAATTAAAAAACGATATCTTGAAATGACCTTCGTTGGTACTAGTTCACAAGAGTTCCGCACGGATTACGTATGGTTCACAATCACTTCGATCACACTTGTTCATGAAATCCCGAAAACAGCCGAATGTTGTCGTCTTTTATGACGTCAGCTATTGCCCCATAATACAATCCCTTTTCATGCATTTTTGAAAAAAATACAACGTATTCCCTTTATGGAACTTCCTTATTAAAAAATTGTGTATTTACTAATTAGTTAATTATTAATTTTTATTATAACGGTTATTACTTTGAAAGAAAAAGAAAAAGAAACATAAAATAATGTTTGAGTAGTTTCTTCAAGCCCTATTAAAAAAAAAAGCTTTTAGTAATAACATTTTTATTGACACGTGCTTACATGTAGTGGCTGTAAATACGCATATACTGTATATTATCTTCTATAACTGCGTATAAAAGATTTTTTTATCATTTGGATAATAAATAATTTTAAGTTATCTATTATCTTTTTTTTTGTTATTAGAGTTTTTCAATAGAAGTTGGAATAATTGAATTTATAATTTATTTTAGCAAGCCTTTTTTAGAATTGCGCAATCGTCTATCTAGTTTATGAATTTTTTTAGATTTCTAATAATATGAGGGGCTATTTTAAAGTGGAGGGGGGCACTTTGTGTGCATATACTGTCTGATTTGTAATTATGATGTGTAATTATTGTTATTCGCAGTTAATCTCTTTTTTCTTGGTAATCCGAAAAAAGAGATTATTGTAGGCTATGGTACAAAAAAAAAGTATTTATTTTCGAGAAAGGATTTAACGTATTTGGGAAACAACTGACGAAGAATATGTAATAATTCCAAGATAATGAATATTGGAAATCATCTATAAGAGAAATAATATCGTGAAATAGCAGCCAGAGATGTAATAATTAAAGATTTTTATGTATTACTATTTCTTTTTTACAGATCTATAATATATGTACAAGCTCAATTCAGGTATCATGATGTGTAGCCTAAATTTCGAATGTAAATCTGCTCCTGCTATATAACTGAATGTGGTTAAGGTTAAAGTACTTAAATGGCGGGAAAGTTAATAGTAACTGGCCCAAGAGATCGGTCGCCTTCGTTCTCTTTCAGAGAAACACGAACGCCTTCGGGATTCCAGGAACAAGTGTGATCGAAGTGATTGTGAACCATGCATAATCCGTGCGGAACTGTTGTGAACTAGTACCCCTTCGTTAATGTAGTTTCTGCATCAAGTTTTATCAATGTCTGTTATTAAAGTAAAGTGAAAATATTGTATTTTTATTTCCTTAATACCGCACTTTCATAGATAGGTAATAACTGAAGACTTCTGCTTATAAAAGAGAGTCCTTTTCAGAAACTGTAAACGAACCATACACACAAAGAACAGATACTGACAAAAATAACAGAAATAAACCAGCAGTCTTGAACACGTATTAAAAAACAGGTCGGGAGCCCATTTAAAAAAGTTATAGTAAATCCACTGTTCTAGAAGTTAACATCAAAATCAGAATATTTGTATTGATAATGTAGACAGATACATTGATTAAAACTGATAATACATTACCTACAAACAGAACAAGTGACATCTTCTTCAAGTATTACCATTTCACTATTAGTACTAGACGAATCTGAATCACTAGCATAAGAATCAGGACTTGCAGTTACTGAAGGAGAAAATCCCCCATGTTTGTGTTTATGGTCGCTTGAACTATGCGATTTAGCATCTTTTGACTACAAAATAAAGGTAAGAAAAACATTTTACACTAAACACTATTCTACATAAATAATTATATACACTTTTTTCCTAACAGAATATATCAGACCTACTTTAATCCTTTCGTTATTTTCACAGCCTGTGACTGGAGGTATCATTTTGTATTGTTTTCTACCATTATATTTTTGGTGAATAGTTTCAACAAGCATACTTCTCAGTTCTTCGACCGATTCTTCAGATGGTGACTTTAAAAGAATTAAGGTTTTAGCAATCCACGACTCAAGCTCAATATGAGACATTTTATTGAACTGTGAAAATGACAAATTAAAATTATTGGTGATACAGCAGATCAAGTTTGGAACCTTCCAGGATTGTTTCCTTTACAACGCGAGCAAAGAGATAAATGGTCAACTTATCATATCGATTACTAAAGAATTGTGTTCAGTGACTAACATGAAAAAAACGTTCATAATCTTCCCAGCACGACAAAGCTCGTTTACTTCGCATTGATATTTGGCCTCCACTATTTCAAGTCTTGCCATTTTTCAGTCATAAAAATAGAATATGTTTAAAATACAAGTACAGATAGTTGCGACGTAAGAATCACAACAATTAAAACGTTACATGCCATTTCCATTTCAACTGACTGTCACTTACAAGGAAACAGTTAAGAAAGAGAAAACGTAAAATCACTTGCGATTTTAATTAAATTAAATTTATTTTAGAGAGGGGACATGACGTCTTTTCTCGGTGGCGCCAAATGTTTTTTTGACGGCACCGATTAACAATAATTGATACTAAGTTTCATTTTGTCATTTGCGAATAATGAAAAAACTTCCCAGGGCGGTTACAAAAATCTTCAAACTAAAACTAAAACTGTCCTAACTTTGACTTTTAATGGGATGTACCCGAAAGATATATATATATTTTTTCTTATCCCCAAAGATCAGTATTTGGGATTTTCAAATGTTTTTTAATGGGATGGAGTCCCTTGTCCCATGTCAATGTAATAGAGTAAATTAACAATGTAATAATAGTTAATTTTAAATTAGTGTATTTTCAGTAAACATAAAAGATTCTCTGAGAAAATTGTCCCGAAACGTCAGATTTAATAGATGTGATTAAAAAGGACTAAAGAAAAATGGAAGTTTATTTGTCTTAAACTTAGAAAAATATATAAACCGAAGCTTCCTAAGAAAAGAATAATAAGAAGATATCTATTAATTCCATTTAGTAACTCATCTGAAACTGTTTCAACGTCTAAAATAAATGATGAAGAAAAAAGGTTAAAACTAAAAGGGGAGATTACAGACCTGGGTTCACCGATTTCAATGAAAGTTTTTGTTGATACTGGGTCATAAATAGCCTTGTCTGAGGGGATTCTTGTCAATGCCCTGTTAAAATAATTAAAATTATATTAAAAATACAGTTATGATGAAATCGTTTTGTTTTATTTGTTATAATACTAATGAAATTTCATTAACAGTTAAAGTGTAAAATTTTAAAACATAAATTGAAGGTTGTGCTACATCATTAGCTTTTATACTTGTTGATAAATTTAACTTTAGTCACATAAGTGGAATATTTGTGTTTATTCTTTTTGAATTCCTTTTGAGATAGATGTGACAATGAAATCTTGTGCAAGAGAAAGATTGGTATTTGTATAATAGCGGGTAGCTATTATTTTACTCTAGACCACTAAAATAATCTAGAGAATAAGGCTTTCCAGGTGATTTTTTCCCTAATGTAGAATGTTGTTTCCACTCATGTATTCAGTGTCTATATCATAATTTTGTATTGAAAATAATGCATATTAATGTTTTACTGTGAAACTAGAGAATGACATTATTAGTTAAGTCCCTCTTTAGTGTTCCATTTCTTGGAATTCTCTTTCTTTTTTTTCTTTTTTCAATTTCTAATCAATGCAATATTCACTCCTAAATTTAAATAGGACTTGAATTGCTTCCTCTGTTACTGTAATAATTCTTCTGAAATAATCAAAAGAGTTATTCATAACTTTAGTACCATCTGTATGAGTAGTAATGGGGTTGATGTTTTCTTTATAAGTTTATTATAATGGCAATACAATGGAGAAAATAATAAATTTATAACATGTGTTCAATTATATTTTTATTTAAGATATGGGTACTTTATAAGTATCTTTCAAGACAAATAAGATATTACATATTTATTTTACATTTACAAACGAAAAAAATGAAAATATACAAAAACAAAGCAAACAAATATTCAATAGTTATAAAATAAGAAAATACTTTAACATATTACATTATTTTTGGTATTTATACAAGTTTTTAAAAACATTTCACATAGGTTTTTGTTCACAGTTGTGAATACACATTAAACAGAATTTTTGAAGTGTTCAAGTTACAAGTTTTGAAATACCTCGAGTGCCTCAAACTTTAACAATTTTTTCAGTTCATAATTAAAATCTAAATCTTCAGTATTATCAAAAATTAAATATTACAAAACTAGGAATTTAATTTTTTTTTTAAACACTACAAGAGTTAAATAGAGATAAATATTTCATTTGTATATAAGATGTTTACAGAAAATTTAAATGATGAAGTTCACAATTTGAAAATGAAACAGTTTTTCAAATTAATTGATATTGAAGAAAAAATACATGTTGTTTCATTAACTATATTATCATAGTTCAAAAATTCTATCGTAATATATGGTACATAGGTAACAATTTTGTATTTAGTTCAACAATAGTTAAAACTTCATAAAAAATATAAAAATCTAATTTCTATATTTAACAGTTATAACCGATAATTATCAGAACAGAACTCTATGAAAACATTAGAATTAAGAAGAAACATGAATTTATTGTTATCAGTCCTCAATATTTCTCTGGTTTTCACTGAAGTTTCTTGGATTGCTCTCTGTGTGGCTACCTGAATCTTAATCTCCATCATGTCCATTATTTCCTAAACAAAAACAAAATTATTCAAATTAATAATAATTGAGACTATTAGGTTGTAATTTTTCAAATGGGTAAAATCTTGAAAAGGTTCAAATCCTTTGCTACTGAACTTTAAAATTAAATATCATGATTAAGAAATCAAATCTTTCTATTATTTTCTGCTTCAATTACTATCTAAATTCAAAAATCTATGAGTATATTTTCTTCTTCAAATATTAAAAGTAAATATCTTTTTAAAAATATTACTATTAGTTTCTTGGCACTGGAACAATTTTTCACTCATGTTATGTGTATCCTTGATTAAATCTCTCTCAGTTGACTTCTTTTAGCATTTAGTATTTTCTTGAAATGGTTGCGGTAAAAGCATTCTAGGGGAACTAGTTTTCCTTCACTCATGGAGGGGAAGTTCCAAGGCTGAGCAAACATACATATTAAATATTTATCAAAATAAATCTGTTATAATTAAAGTTATTCACCCATGATATATGAGCACAGTCATCTAATATCACAAGATTTAACCATTTGCTATTTGGAATATCATCTTTCATGAATCATCTGTAATTGTTTTTTAAATGCCCTTTTTTTAAATGAAATCAAATATACAATTCACATACTATTCTGTTAGCCAGTTATTATTTGAATCATCAGAAAAACATAAAAGGTAGAATTAAATGTAATATTGACTTATTTTCTTACCCAAATATGGAAGAACATTTTTAAGCCATCTATGACTTCATGTAGTAAGCTTATTTAAAAAAAAAATCATATACATTCCTTTAAATTACTAGGATATATTGAATTAATTCTAAGAATTTATTGTAATGTTATATACTTACCATAGATACCTGTATACCATAAAAAGACTTGAGCTTTAGTTTAAACTTTTTTCCAATAAAGTAAAACTAACTCATTTTACCTAAATAACACAGAATAAACTTGGGATATTGCTAATTATAATTTTATAATAGGAGCCATTACCTATCCAAAATTCGTTTAAGTTGTAACAGAATTTTAAAATTCTTAATAATTTAATATTGAATTTCATTTTTTTTTCTCTTTATTTCTTAATTCACAACTGTCTATGTTCACTGACTACGAGTGAATGAAACTAAAACATACAAATAAACTAGGTAAAGAGAATAACCCAATGGCCAATCTTAGGTCATGTTAATAGTTATTCGAGGAAATCTCTCGTCCAACACTTTTTCAGTCTTTTATGGATGTTATCGGACATGTTTTTATTGGCCATGTCTTGAATGAGTCTAATAGGGTGACTATAAAGCTTTTTGTGATACGTTTGGTAGTAACTTTGTATGTGTTCAGTGATGGTTTGCATTCTTAAATCTTTGTGAAGAGTTAAGTTACTAACATACCAAGGTGGTTGTGTAATTGTCCTGACATATTGAACAGCTGAATAATAAATAATGTTCCCAATCTCCTAAATGTTTCTAGAGGAAAAAGTTTTTCAAGTATTAGGTATTAGAGCTGGAAATTAAATATTGGAGAGCAACAGCACAAAATAAGGAAGACTAGTGGCTCCATTTGTAGGAAGTCTTGACTCTTAACATTGTACATTATAAAGCTATTGTTTTTACAAAAATAAGAGTAGTTTATCATCAGAAAAATCGTCCCACATATTTAAATTAAGTAAGGTTTTGTTTAAATAAAGATGATAACTCTTAACCTCTGGTTCCTAACCCTCATCACATAAAAAAATAAAAAAAACAGATAGTCTGCAATCAATTATTGTTGCTAGCTGGCACTAGTTAATTTAATAAATATGACCCATGAATTTCTAATATGACTGAATTTTATTTAAAATAAGCCAAACTGAACTTGTGCTGGGCATCAGTGCTGTTTTATACAACAATAATTTTTCAAAAAGCTTTTTGTATACAATAAAAAAGTATTTATATGCAATTATTTATTAACAAAGAATTTGTAATATTACAAACTTATCTAATATAAAAAATTAATTATAATGAAACAATAACTGATATGTATTTATTTTTTTAGGTATGTAGCAGATTTCTACCACCTTCTTGAAGAGGAACATACTTGGAAATGATGAAGTACACTGCTTGGAAATGTCTTTGGAAAAAAAATGGTCTTGATGCAAATGGAACCATTGATGAAAAAATAATAAGTGAAACAAGATATTGTGCCATGGAAATTTTCTTCGGTTGAATCCGCATCAGAAAAAGTAATTTTTTTCAAGACTCCAAAATGGGGGCATGCAGCCTTTATCAATGTATTCTTAATCAGAGGCCTGGAACTACCACTCTGAGAAACAAGCAACACACATCTGACATCATGAAGGAAATGTATACTTTCCAATATGGCTAAAGAACATGAAGATAATGAAGGCAGAATGGAGAGAATAATTCATTTAATGAGAGCCATTAAAATATTTCCTGTCATTCTATAGTTGTAACTTATCATTTAATTTAATTATTGTATTCATTGTTTTAATTATTCATATAAATTAATTCTTGTAATCATTATTGTAATTATTCATGTCATTTAATTTTTGTATTCATTGCTGTAATTATCGCTGTAATTTTATAGATAGTTGAAATTATGTTATCATCATATAAGAAAGATAAAAATTACATTTTTTATAATGAAGATCATTTAATAGAAATGGCAAACTGAAATGAAATGTATTAATTCTTTATATTTTTTTTTATTCTATTTATTTTACTAAATATTTGAACCATTTTCTGTATATTGCTTCTCTTATATTTACACTTGAGTGCCTCTGTATAGATATTGCAATGTTTGATGTATTTTGTTTTAAATAAATGTATTGAAAAAATAATTAATTATTCTTTTTTCCTCTTAAAATCCTAAAGAATTTCCTTAGCGAAATCCCTCTATTCCTTCTCTCTTTTAATTTTACTCCATAATTTACTCAGTTAATAAGGATGCAATCCTTAATTAATAATTTACAAATAAAATAAAATAATCATAAGGACTGACTATGCTATATGTACTAAAGGAAAATATACCATTGGTGTTCTGTAAAAAGAGTGAATTCATCAAATTTTAGTTTTATAACACAATAGAGAGTTTAACTTCAGATTCTCTCATATAAGAATGGAGAAAACATCACTTTCCTTGAAATATGCTATTTCAAAAGTATTCCTTGGATTCACTGTTTTTACAACAAAATACAATATAAGACAATATGAAAATAAAGTGAATATATTATATAAAAGATACTTAATAATCTAATAAATATTATATTATATAATATAAGAAATAAATATTAAAGGAAAAGAAAAGAAATTTTAATAAATGGTTGGTTAAAATAACACCTAATAGAAGACTTGTGATTATTTTTCTTATTGTTGTGTAAAATAAGAAAAAATAAATTATTATGAATTTTTTAAACAATTCTAAAAATTTTCATAAATTCTGAGCAAAAATAAACAAAACAATTATACTCAATATTTATTTATAAGGAAAGAAAAGTATTAATTTAATAAATATTGAAAATAACAACTAATTAGAAAATTTTTCATTATTTTTCTGATATTTCGACTAAATGAGAAAAAAGAGGAACTGTTTTGATATTTTTGAACAATTCTAAAATATTTTGATTCTCAACATGGATAAAAAAGAAAATTATGCTGTATAATATAAGAAATAGATATTATAGGGAAAGAAAGGTATTTTTATTACTTTAATAAATGGTGAAAATAACACATATTAAGAAATTTTGTAATTATTTTTGGGCAAAATGAGAAAAAAGAAGCATTTTGAATTTTTCGAATAATTCTAAGAGATTTTGATCAATTCGAAGCATCAATAGACAAGAAAACTAATTTTTATATTATAGGTGTGAAAAACGGTGAAAATTTAAAGATTTAGGGTGGAATAAGCAAAAAAGGAATAATTTTAATTTTTTAAAACGTTATTTAAATATTCTGATCGATTTCCAGCATGAATAAACAAGAAAACCAATTTTTATATTATAGGTGTGAAAAACGGTGAAAATTTAAAGATTTAGGGTGGAATAAGGAAAAAAAGGAATAATTTTAATTTTTTTTAAACGTTTTTTAAATATTCTGATCAATTTCCAGCATGAATAAACAAGAAAACCAATTTTTATATTATAGCTGTGAAAGACGGTGAAAATTTAAAGATTTAGGGTGGAATAAGGAAAAAAAGGAATAATTTTAATTTTTTAAAACGTTTTTTAAATATTCTGATCAATTTCCAGCATGAATAAACAAGAAAACCAATTTTTATATTATAGATGTGAAAGACGGTGAAAATTTAAAGATTTAGGGTGGAATAAGCCAAAAAAGGAATAATTTTAATTTTTTAAAACGTTTTTTAAATATTCTGATCAATTTCCAGCATGAATAAACAAGAAAACCAATTTTTATATTATAGGTGTGAAAAACGGTGAAAATTTAAAGATTTAGGGTGGAATAAGCTAAAAAAGGAATAATTTTAATTTTTTTTAAATATTCTGATCAATTTCCAGCATGAATAAACAAGAAAAACAAAAAAAAAATGGTCCCAGAAGCATCCGGACATAAGATTCCGAGTTTAAAATCTTTATTTTGTATTAGGAGAGTGAAATATTACAGGAGCTCACTTTTCGGGACGGTCCTGATACCAATAGTGCTGCTATCTATTGGCAGAACATAGGAACTACGAATTTTATATGAATTTCCAGCTGAAAATTCTGAATTTCTATTAGGATATTAGGAAGCTATAGGAGCTCACTTTTCGAATGGACCAGGAGTCTGTGTAGTGCTACTATCTAGCGGCAGCTTCTAGAACTACAATTTCATATACCTTTGTTGGATAGTGCTGGCCTCTTGCGGCAGTTTTAAGAACTACGTCCAATTTTCCTTTTTCCAACATTTGTTCCCTGGATAGTGCTGCTATCTTGCGACAACTTTTTGAACTATTTTCCGATTTATCGTTTCTTGGATAGTGCTGACCTCTTTTAACGGTTTTTGGAACTAATATTTTATTTTATATGTATATTGGATGGTGCTGCTCTCTTTTATTGGTTTTTAAAACTATTATTCGATGCTTCCTTTATATTGTTGTGGAAACTGTTATTAAAAATTCCTTTAAACTTATAAATTATCACTAAAATTGTTCCTTTCGCTTTGTTATATTGTTTAAATGTTTATTAATTTAGTTCTTGACGTGATAGGCCTCCACAATCTTCAAAAATATGTTAATAAGTTAAAATTGTGTTTAATAAATTCTATAAAATGTTTTCTTTCTGAAGTATATTGACTATACAGCCAAAGTGTCTGATTCTTTCATGTCTTAAGCAATATATTATTTCATTAAAAATTACAGAATTATTTATCACTAGTTTCTGAAAAGTGTATGTAGTGAGAGAAGTTTAGTTTTAAATGAATATAGAGGTATCAACAGTAAAATGTTTTTATAAATAAAGATATTGAATAGTTGTGTTATGTATTTTTAAATATACGGTGAAACATAATAGAAGAAAACGTAAATGTGTTTCTCTACAGTGTATGTAGTGAGTTAAGTGAAGTTTTGAATGCATCTAATAATATCGACAGTGGACTGTATTAGAAATATAAATATTATGGATATTTCAAAGTTTCTGTTGTGTATTCTTAAATATATGATAAAACATGTTATAAGTAAGCAAATAAATGTGTTCCTATGAAAAGTTCTTTTTATTTTACCCCATTGTTTCTTTGTATTTAAAGACTTATATTCTCATTGCTGTATAGGCTGTTAACTATAGATTTACATTACCAGCATGTATGTATATCTGATTCAAATTATAACAGTTTGCTTACATTATTTTCAAATATTGAAGGTATTTAATTTTCTATCCATTAAATTATTTATGTTTATAAGGAATGATTCATTCTTGGTTGTCTTGTTCAAAGTTGTTCTTTAAAATCATAAAAATTTTTAAATAGTAGTTGAAAATTATCTTTTGTTCATAGTTGATGATATAGAATACATTTATTGTAGTCAGTAGTCTGTAACTTATATCATGGAACAAATAATCAGAATTCATTCATTATTATTTTATTACTAAATACAATTTTCAATGTAAACTTTCGGGTCTTCATTAAGATAGAAATTAAATCAGATATACAAGAGATATGTGCATAATATAGACATAAATAAATTACAAAAAGAATGGATGTTGTAGAATAATATACTAAATAAAGAATAAAAATAAATTAAGGACAAATTAAGCAGTAAGAATATAAATAATAATAGTGATTCATATTGTTTTAATTTCTTTATATCACCATCACTTAATCCATTGTTATTATTTTTATTTTTTATGAAAGGAAAGGAAGGTACAAAACAAACAGTCTGAAGTTCAAATTTTATTTATCTATGGTGTTTGGGTGGTTATGTATAAAATGTTTACACGTTTATTTAATAAATAAGTTTATTTATTATATATATTACAAACAACTTTTAAAAGAAATAAAAATGAACACTTTATATTACATGTTTCTGATTTACAATATATATTTACTAAATAAAGAATGCAAGTACATAAGTTAAATTCATATACATAAAGCAAAATAATGAATTATACATATGGAATGTATTGTGCTACTAAGTCATAATGTTTAGTTCGTTGTTAGTCTTGTTTATAACAAGGTTTTATCGAGTGATTCTCATTATAATAGATTATCGATTAAATCAATGTAACTGTATTTTTCCTGTTACATTATTAATTTGTTACTTTAACATGATTGATCATAATTATAGGCTCAAAACCTAAAATTATAATTATTCTTCCTTATTTGGAATATTTCATCGAAACTTGTTTTATTTGTATCAGTGTGATAATTTACTAAATATATTGACTAATGCCTATATTCTATCTACAATTAAACTGAAAAAAAAAAACATAGTGACTCCTCAATGCAAGGAATTTCTTGTATTTTGATAAAAATAGGCCATTTTAAGTGACACATATAGTATAATTTAGTGACACATATTTATAGACATATTTTTTAAGAGACATACTTTAGTGAAGGGCATGAAAAAACAATCCTTCCAGAAAATTGATTCCAAAAATTTATATATATATTTTTTTAAAAAGCAAACTAGTATATTAAAATTTCAGTGGACACTAAAAACCCCACGTCCGTGAACTCCCTGTTAGTTTTAACATTTTTTCTTCACCATTTATTCTAGATGTTGA